GTTTGTTGCATCTTTTAGCTTGAACTTCGTTAATCGTTATCTTCTAATTTTGTTTAATCAAATTTGATTAGATGCCCGAACAGCAAAAACCGAAATTGCTGTCTCCCGAACCCAAAAAACCAATCACATCTCTTACAACTAATACTGATGACGATGATTCGGAGGAAGCCCGAATCAAGGCTATGTTCAAACAGACGACCGAGCAGTGGGAACAACAGCAGGAGAAATTAGCTGAAGCGACGCCGATATATAATAATAAACGACGACAACCACATAACACACCTCAAAATACTCCTCAGAAAATCCCACCACCTAATTATGTTTGTTTCCGATGCGGTACTAAAGGTTAGTAAGATAATTTGATCAAAAGATAACCTGTTAATTTTTATCATTATCAATATTAATATGGTGATGACCTCTTCACAGGGCATTACATCAATAATTGTCCGACAAATGGCGACAAGGAATACGATAAAAATAAAATCAAGAGAACAACCGGAATTCCAAGAAGTTTCCTGAAACAAGTTGACGAACCAAAGAAAAACGGAACCGGTGGGTTAATGGTCACGCCACAAGGCGGTTTGGTCATAGCAGTCGCTGATAAGTAAATATAGCGTTTATTTTTATTAAAGCTTACATATCATATTAAATGAAATTAACCTAAGAAAATCAACTTAGTGCATCGTGGGAACGCCACAAAGCAATCACGCGAGCACCACTGGGCAACAACGGTGACATCTACGAACAAGCTCCAGTAAAACCGGAAATGGAATGCACTCTATGTCATCACCTACTGCGAGAAGCGGTCACCATTCCATGCTGTAATAAAAACTTTTGTGATGACTGCGTGAGAAATTATTTGCTCGAACATAATTTTGTTTGTCCGTCTTGTGGCACAACCGATCAGATTCCCGACAGTTTAGTACGAAACCGTACGTTGAGAGAGGAGATTGAAAAGTACCTTAAAGAATATGCAATCAAACTCAAGAACGCTTATTTGTTATCGACAGGATCAACACCGAAAACACCACCGAAAGATATCGACGATTCTGGTTCTAATATTACTAGTACTACGACAAATAAGAGTATCGATAGT